TAAAGCAAATAGTTGAGATAATCGTGGGTCTGTTAAAAGATAGGATAAAAGCTACCAGCGAACCCGAGAGTAAGAAGCGTCGGGTGCAAGAAAAAATCCAAAAATAGATAGTATTTTTTTAGACACAGAATGTCCTGCTCCGCAGACTGTATTTTTATATATATTTATCCCGTATATTTATCAATAAAGATTTTCGGTTAGAGGAACGTACAACTTATCATGTGTTATTTTTTGTGTAATGTGTAACTAGTAATTTTCCGAAATAATTTTCTTGGCAAAAGTGATCGGCGTTACAAGATTGTAACGCGTGATTTTATTTTATGAGAACGCACCACAAAGAATATAACATACCCAATAATTTTGTCAAACAGTAAGCGAGTATGAGATAAAAATTGTGTAAAGAAACTGGATCATTTTAAGATACGTTTGGTAATCAAGAATTGGATTTCGTATTACGGTAGAAGAATTTTATTATTTATGAAACTATACAGAAACATATTATATTTCCGCATCAGTCCAAAATGTCCATTATTTTGTACTAATAAAAATTCGAGCAAATTTATATATATTTTTTGCATTGCTGGAACGTATAAAATCCCAACAATTATATGATCAATATTAGATTAAAAGTAAATCTTGCTGGGATAGATCTAATCAGTGAAATTTTTTGCTTTACCACCAATACCTATAAAAAGCTTATATACTTTTCGGCTCCTTCCTTTTTCATAATGCATCATCATTAAGTTTGATTCCGGAATTTCTCTTCTGACTTGATATTACTTCTATGTAGGAGGATTATGAAAAACGATTTTGGTGAATTATATGACGTTTATCGAGATGCTATATAGGTATTTCGCACTTAATTTATTCGTGAATAGATTAATAAAATGAATGAATAAATGATCGAGCATTGTCACATATTTACTTTTCCAAAGTGTAAGCAATATTTGTCCCTGCCAAATATTCGCATATCTACTAATCAGAAATGAAAATTAATAGAAGATTATCCGTGGTCTCTAACAAGGTATTAAAACGTTCAAAATACTGTTCCAAAATAAATTCTTCTTCCTCTTGGAATGTCATGATATTCAATGTTTCTGTTTTTGAGTTCCTAAATAAGGAGTCGAGTTTGGTTTCAATAGTTATATGATTAATTATATGTGAAATACGAAAGAAAATGTTAAGATAAATGATGTTACAGACACTAGAATTTACCTCAGTTTTATGATATATCATTGTCTCATTTATTGTTTGAGGTTAAACGATATCTATAATATATATATATAACAAAGCTTATTAAATAAATTAAGACGTGCCCAGATGATATATAAAAAATAAAAGCTGAAACCACACTCTCGCCACCCATATGGTTAAGCGAAATATGTGGCCTACCTTTGTACATGAAAAGTTTACCGCCCATATGGCACGTAAGGTCCTTTCACGCACACTTCCACCGGTCTGATCACCATATGTTAAACCATCCGGCAGGCGATACGAAGAAGAGGTCACAGTCCATATGACAAGTGGTGGTCTCCTCTTCGCACTTCCAGTACGTCCGCCGTCCATATGACACACGGGCGTATGGGAAATCGCATATTGAAAAAAAATCGTGTTTTAGAATTATTAATTGTCAGGTCACATTACTGTTGATTATCAACCAATAAAAAGAATTCTTTGATCAAACGCGCATTACGCGTTCTCAAAATATGTCGTCCATAGGTCCTGAACCAAGAATTTCCGGATCTAAGTTCTCTAAATTTATTATTCCATCGGAAACGTACAATATCGACGATTTCTTCAAGAGTTCATCGGCTTCTAAGTGGTCGCTTGGGAACTATATCAATAGAATTATCGAAGGTCCAGACATTGATCTTACCTTCGATCAACTACTCACCAACTTCATAGAAAGCCTCAAGAATATAAACAAGATACTTTCCCTTCCGTTATCGATACGGTCGTTTAGTGCCGATTATGTAAAATGGTTAAAGGTACTCTTATCACTCTCCTTGCTTTATTGATCCAAATTGAATTTAGCTCATATTTTCTATTATTACAGTCATTGTCTGGTAAAGCCATTATACAATCGTGTCGAGAATTTTTCGATGCTAAAATGAATCTTGAAAAAAAGAAAGCCATTAATTCTGTGGTTAAGGTACATTAATGTGCGTTCAAAGTTATATTGTAACAAATAAGAACATTCAAATTGTCACTGTCTTCTTTCAGGAATCAGTTAATGTCACCGCACAGACAAAAAGCTTCCAGGCCTCTTTACAACCTTCTGTTCTATCAGGAGCGGAAGCACTGAAATCAATGCCACCCGAAATACTAGAAGATACCTGCTATGTCATAAGTGATAACGATGATAACGATGATACAAATGATGATCATATTTCTTATAATGAATCAGCTTATATGAAAGATCCCGAGTATTTTGATAATCTTGTTAATAATGTAGATTTATCCTACATTGGAAGAGAAGAAGAACCAATATCAGCATCCTTAACATCTGCAATTCCAATAGTCACTAGCTGGGACTCCTTTATAATAGGTGATATCGACATTTTGAAAGTTTTTGGCTGTTTACGTAATTCGTTACCCAAAAAAAGTCCTGAAGTTCAGTAAGTATTATTTTTGCATAATGATTTTGCAAGAGAATTTGTTTATGAAATTTGTAAATATCATCTTTTTCTATTGAAGCCCACAATATTGGGGTGTTCTTGACTTAACGGGACAACACAAGCCATCAAAAAAAAGATTCATAAAAAAATGGGATGATCTCGTAAATAATTTTAAATCTGACATTGCGTGGAATATGGTAGAACTTGAACAGTTCGAAACAAACTTTTTTGACAATATCGAGGTAATAAAAGCAACAGTTTAGTCATTATCTTTGTTTCGTGTTATTAATGATATGAAACTTTTATTGAATAGGATTCAGAAGCACAAAAAAGGGTACCAATATTACATGCGCATTTAATAATATTAAAATTTTATCTAGAGCACCTTAAACTCCCGATAAATGAGGGGGAGCTTATGATCCACTTCGTTGCCCCCGCTTTTAGAATGAGTATTGATCAAAATCAGGAGAAGTTTCGAAAACTTTGGTAATTCTTCAAGGTCAGATCATGTGTTATTAATTTCATTTTAACATTTTATTTTTTGGGTTTTAGGTGTGAGCAACAACTAGTAGCAAGTCAAGAAAGACGTAGAGTTGACCAAGATCCTAATAATGATCGTGCCCGTATTGGTCAGAAAACCGATTTAATCATTACTTTGCCATCAGGACCAGTCTTAGAAGGTTTTATATGCGAAGTTTCAGGCGGACTTCCAGCAGGATGTCCTAAGAAAATTTGGACCGATAAATTAAAAATAATGGTTGGAATGCGTGATATGATCAACCGAATAATAAAGACATTTCCTGATTGTCACCTGAAGACTATATGAAAATTGTCGTATTTGGATGTCAAGTAATAGGTAATTTTTCAGGATGAACATATAGATATTTCTAAAAGATTATTAATAAGGTATATATTTCTTTGTATTGCAGGATTACAGATTAACCTTTATGCGATGGATGTTCGGGCATATGGAATATATCGGTTTGGAATAATAGATAAAGTGTTTTTGTTTGCATCGACGCAAGAGTTATCAGCATATGAATCAGTTCGTGTGATGTTGCGTTCCTTAGAGGTTTGTTATTTATTTACTTCCTCACTAATGTACATATCACCATGCTTATCAATTTTAATTTTACAGCACCGATTGAACGATCTTACGAATTATTGCTCGTATCTTAAAGTTTTGCATGCAAGATTGAGACGAAAACGTAACTACTCGTATCAAGAAGACATTTTTTCATTTACAAACAATACTCCGAACAAGTCCCCTCAAAAAAAGTCGAGATCAGAAACTAACAAATGATGATTTTTATAATCGTAGATCATTATTATTCGTATCATAATATTAGCCAGCGAGAGTGAGTACAAATAGTTTAGAGAATGAAAACTTATAATGTAGGCAATAGTATAGATTTTTTTTACAATTAATAAAAGCGCATTACTGCAATTTACAAATATTTTTAATGTAATAAACTTTTGAATATAACCACGTTTTGTGTAAAACAATGTCAAACGATCAACTCACAATCGATACCTTAAGAGAATTAAATTCTAGGCTTGCATCCGAGATTACTGAACTTAGAAAGGATAATGCTGAAATTCCTGAACTTAGAAAAAAATTTTCCGAAGTTGAGGCCGAGAACAATGAACTTAAAGTTGAGAACGTAAAATTAAAACAAGCTTTGGAAGAAAATGAATCCAGATTTGCGAAACTGGAGCAGAATGATAAAGATACTGCTGTTGAAAATTCTGAGCTTAAAGCTAGAGTTGCGAAATTAGAACAGAAGCAATCGCAA